AGTTCTGGTATCCAACCTGGTTATCGTTTTTTGTCTGTTTTCTGAGGTCAAGTCCCTCCCTAACGCAATCTCCCATCCTTCAGAAGGCTTCCCCCGCCTAAGCCCATAGAAAGATCTGGGAGCTTTAGAGCTTTTGTGATGAAAAGCCCAGCAGGGACACTTCCAAGGTACTTGACCTTGGAGAAGGATCCTTCTGAAGACTCAGTCTGTGGTTGGTAAGATGGGGCTAATAGCTGTTGTTGGAAAGTTGCTGAGACTTCAACATATAAATGACACAGCACCGGCTCTTAGTAGGGCATCAGGAAGTGCCCTGTGTTTGTGACAGGCACACTGCACAAAGCCACTGGATCCTGGCTGAGTGTGCATGTTTTCACTGCCCAAGACTTGGCCACGAGTCCCTCATCAGGGATGTGTGTTGCCAACCATTCACCGAACCTCATTAAAACACAGCCGACCTGCTTCTCGTTCTCTACAGCTTCAGATGTCTTGCAGAGCCCAAGAGAGGAATTCTCATTAAGTGCAAGGCACAAAGTTCGCCTGGGTCCCCCCTTCCCGCCAGTTATCACCAAGTCGCAGACTGCAAATCAGGCTTGGGCAAAAATGCGTACAGGCTTTTTGCACGGCAAAGCAGGTGTCTGCCTCTTTCTTGAGGTAAAGGGCGGTCAGAGCTCCAGCCTCAAGTCTCCAGGTCAGGAATGGGAAGGAAAGACTGGAAGAAAGGGATGCCTCTGCGAGGCGGTCCTCGCTAGTGACCCTGTCCTCCGCGCACCGGGGGGGAAGGACACGAGCGGGGAGGAGCCAGGAGGGCAGAGGTACCTGAAAAGCCTGGCCGCCGTCTGGTTCCTCTTCCACGCCGTGCCCTGTTGCAGCACCGCCTGCACGATCTCCTTCTCGTTGGGCAGCCGGTAGACGGGGAAGATGTAGAGCCAACAGAGGACCACGACGCAGAGGGCACTGGCTCCCACCGGCAGCCGGGTCCGCGGGAACTTCCACGCCAGGACAGCCATGGCCCCTCTGGACGTGTGCCGCCGGGCCCGCCCGCAGGGGCTCATCGCAGCCCCAGGGTCCCGGGGGGCGGGGGTGGGGGGGTCGGCGAAGACCAGAGCCTCAGCACAGCGCTAAGCGAAGTGGCCCCCCATGCACACACACCTTTCGCTTTCTTGCCCGCGCTCGCACAAACGCTTCTTCGGCCCCCACGGCCCCAGAGGTCAGAGTGAGGATTGTTTTTGAAATGCAACTTTTTCAAGGATGTCTTTCTAGGGGACGTGGCCGGGGGGCAAGTCACGAGCTACGGCCATGGTTGCTTCCCCTGAAGAAGGCGGGCGCTGGGTTCTCCGCCGGCGCGGAGAGCGGCGGCGACCAGTGGCTCCCGCGGGTTCTGCAGCATCACGGTCGCCCGCGGCGTGGGTCCGGGGAGCGGCTCGGCTCCCTCCCAGACATTTGGCCCGCGGCGTCCCCTTCCGAGAGATGCTCCAGCGCCCTTCGCCGCCTCTCCCCGCCTCCCGCGCAGCGGCGCCGCCAGGCACCCCCCAGACGCGCTCTCCGCGCCGCGCCAAGTCCTTGGAAATTTCCACGGCGGCCCGGGACCGCTATCCAGCCCCGGGCTTCTCCGCCTCGCCAGCCAGGACCCTCGCTCCCCGCCCTTCCCGGAGAAGAAAAGAACTCGCTCTCATCA